AGGCAATGTTGTTCAGGAACTTCGTCTCGGCCAGGGGCGCAGACTGGGTCCAGAAGGATGTCTTTGACGACGGCGACGGCAGCGGTTGGCAGGGGAAAGAGTTCCCTTTCGACATGCGTAAACTTCACGGCCATGCTATCATGTATGCGCTGGCCGTGCAGGAGTTGGAACCGCTCGACAAGCATCTTGACATCTACGTGGAGGAGGACATCAGCGAGAGCGCTCTGAGAACATACGACGATCACCTCCACCAGCGCGTCTATCCGCCCGCCAATTCCGCTTGCGTTACTGAGCTAGTGGGCGACGGACACGAGAAGGTGCTGGTGCGCTGCAACGGCGGCTGCGGCCTTCCAGGAGGGAAAGTGCTGAAGAGGCCTTCGGCTGCTCGCAAGTTCGCTGGGAAGGCCCCGATGAAAAAGCCCGCTACCGCGAAGCCCGTTCCAAGCCCAAGCCTGTCGCGAAGAGAGCCGCCGTGATTAAGAAGCCCGCGGTGACCAAGGCTGGCACGAAGCGCAAAGCCCCGAGGTCTCTACACCACAACAACGGGTGGTTTATGCTTCTGACCACGAGCGGCCGCGTGGTGGCCGTGACCGAGCAGACTGCGCCAGAGGGCAACGATGTGGTCAAGTCCACAATCCTCCGTGCTCTCCCGCAGTATCCGAAGGTCAACTGCATCATATACGACAGGGCATGCTCGGTGATGCCTTCGGCGCTCCTGGACGATCAGTTCAATCAGATTAAATACTGGGTCGTCGACAGGCTGCACGCCCAGAAGCATGTGCCCACCTGCGCGTGCAACCCGCTGCACATCCATCGCTTGAAGCTGCGTATCAGCGGACTTAACACTCAGGTGGCAGAGCAGTGCTTCTCATGGTTTCGCGGCTACTCGCGGATCTTCAACGAGATGTCGCCCAGCCGCCACCGCTTCTTGGTCCTGTACTTCGTTGCCAAGCACAACTCAATGTTGTCTGCTGGCGACACTGACCACCTGGGGCACCCGGCGGCAGCCGCCAGTAAGATTCACAAGAAACCCAGTGGGCATTATCCGTGCGCTTAAAGCGACGGTGTTCCTGGGCATCGGGAGGGCGGGCATGCGCGCCGCCATCTGTAAAGGCCTGTCGCGATTCTGGCGCGCGCGGATGCACTCCGTCATAATCCGCCGAAAAATCAACGCAAGTGATGGTTCTAAGCTGCGCTTCGCACCTGTCTACGTTTACGTGTGATTGTATGTGCGTTTGTATAGATGATTGCTTTACTTTTGCACCATTGATGGACGTGCTACTATGTACACGCGTGCGTCTTCATGCAGCTGTGCATGTATATGTGCATGGAGATATAGTTGTAATTGCATATATATAGTATGCGTATGTGTGTACGCGTATCTGTATATCTATATCTGTATAAACAACACCAACAGTGCCGCCAGGTCGGCCGATATGTCTACCATCTCAAATACCATCTTGATACGGCCTGTGCGGCCGAGGGGACTCCCAGAACACCCCGGCCTCCTCTTTTATGGGCCCTGCCTACCCACAATTCCCGGCCCGGAACCGACTCTGACCCCTCACTAGGTCACCACATCGCCCCTCCCACGCCTCCACCTGGTCCGACCCCCATACCGTCCTGGGAGCTTTGTTGTTTCTTCCCACCCCCGACAATTCCTTGCTCGGGGCCAGCCCTGACCCTTCACCAAGTCGCCACCTCGCCCCTCACCACGCCTCCACATGGTCCGACACCCGCACTGTCCTAGGAGCTGTGTTCTTGGACCCCCCCACCCGACATTTCTTGGCCCGGAACCGCCCCTGACCCCCTCCCCAAGCCGCCACTTGGTCCGACCCCCGCACCGTTCCGGGGGCTTTGTTTTCGGGCCCCCCACCCTACAATTCCCCGCCCAGAACCGACCCTGCCACCTCGCCAGGTCGCCACTCCGCTCCCCGCCAGGTCGCCGCCTGGTCGCACAGCGCGGCGCCACGTGGTTGGATCTGTTCTGGACCCCCGCATCCCACAATGCCTGGCCCGGAACGGACCCTGACCCCCCACTACGCAGGTCGCTACCTCGACGCCCACCACGTCGCCACATGGTCCGACCCCCGCACCTTCCTGGGAGCTTTGTTTTTGGGCTCCCTCACCTGACAGTTCCTGGCCCGGAACCGTCGCTGACCCCCCAACAGGGCGCCGCCTCGTCCACCACCAGGTCGCCACCTGGTCGCCCACCACGTCGCCATCTGGTTCGACCCCCGCACCCTGGGAGCTCTGCTCTGGGTCATCCCCACCCGACAATTCCTGGCCCGGAACCGACCCCGACCCCCTCTCTGACTCCCTCCGTGGCCTCCACCACGCATGACGCCCTCAGCCTCCGCACCGTCCTTGGAGCTTTAACTTCTGGGCCCCCCCACCAGACACCCCCCACCCGACGTGTCCTGGCCCGGAACCGACCCTGACCCCCTCCTTTACGCCCACCACGGCCGACACCCCAGCCTCCTGACCGACCGCCCTTATAGGAGCTCTGTTTTTGGGCCCCCCGCCCAAAAAAGTCGTTGCCCTGGACCGACCCCGACCTTCTCCCGGCCTACTTTTCGTCCCGGGAGCCATGTTTCCATGCCCGCCTAACAGTCCAGGAGGGCTAACAAAAATAGCACGCGACTTAAAAACCTATCCCAGAGCTATTCTATGTCTTGGTTTCAGGCTGTTTTGTTTAGTTTTTTAGGTTTTTAGGCCTCCCGTGCTAAAAAATAGCTCTCTGGAAAGTCAGGCCCCCCCCCACCCGCCCTGCAGGCCCCGTCCTCGGGCTCCCCACCCAACAGTCCCCGGCCCGGAACCGACCCGCACCCCGTCGCCGTCCCCCGCCACGCCCGACACCCAGCCTCCCAACCGTCCCGGGGGCCCCGCTCTTGGGCCACCAGGTCGTCCCAGACATGCGACGCCCTGATTCCTTCAGGGCGGCGTCCCCGGAAGTCCAAGTCCCTTTCCCCGGGGCCGGTTCTTCATCCTGCGTAGTTTTTTGACAGTCCCGAGGTCCGGTAAGGGCCCCCCTGGGGCCGAAAATCTATAGAACAACTTGTCGTCCTGATTTTTTCTCGGGAGCGGCCAAGAGGGGGGTGTCCAAGAGGGGGGGGGTGCAAATCATGACGGGCGGCATGTGCGCGGCCCAGCGGGGGGCCAGGAACGTAATGAAACAAGAAGCGGCGCCATGAGATCTGGGGAAGAATCGTGGCCCGCGCCATGAAATCCACCCCCCCTAATCATCACCCCCCTCTTTTCCGCTCCCGATTTTCACGACGCGATCATGTCCCTTAATTTCCCTTTCCCCAGTGCCGGCTCTTCATCCTGAGTCGTTTTTTGACCGGCCCGAGGTCCGGTGAGGGCCCCCCGGGGCCGAAAAGATAGAGAACAACTCGCCGTCCCGATTTTTTTGTTACGCCGCGAGCAGGTCTGGGGCTCCCTCGCCCCGAGCCGGGACGCCCCCGGGCCGCTGGTTCGCGGCGCCGTGGAGGACTCCACGGGCAGGCGAAGCGATCCCAGGGAGGTCCACCGCCCGCGGCCCTCGCGACCCCCCCAAAGCCTCTCTCCACCGCGGCCCGAGCCCCCCTTCGCAGCCGCCTGGGAGATAGATAGAGAGAGGGAGACCGAGAGAGAGGCAGAGAGAGAGAGAAAGAGGAAAAAACAAAATAAATAAAGAAATAAAGAACAGCGAGAGAGAGGATGAGATAGCGAAAGAGAGAGAGAGAGAGAGCGATAGAGAGAGAGGGAGAGAGCAAGCGAGAGAGAGAGAGAGACAGGAAAACATACACTTAAACAGAGAGCGAAAGAGAGAGAGAGAGAGAGCGAGAGAGAGGGAGAGGGAGAGAGAGAGAGAGAGAGAGAAAAGAGAGAGAGAAAGAAACAACAACAAATGTGTATACCCAGCAAGCGAAAAACAATAAGAGAGAGAGAGAGAGAGAAGCAACAACAGAGAGACAGAGAGAATCACAACCACAGACAAACAGAAAGACAAACAGACAGACAGAGACAGAGACAGAGACAAAGACAGAGGAACCAAGGATACATTAAACCAATGAATAATGAATTTGGGGAAAAAAGAGAGAGCGAGAGAGAGAAAGAGAGAAAGAGAGAAAGAGAGAAAGAGAGAGAAAGAGACAACAAAAGAGAGAGAGAGAGAGAGAGTCACAGACAAAACAGGAAGGACACAGAGACAGAGAAATAACCAAAGAGAGAGAGGAAGAGGGAGAAGGAGAGAGAGAGCGAAAGCGAGGGAACAGAGAGAGAGAGAGAGAAAAAAAAAAGAAACACACAGAAAGAGGAACACATAAACAGAGAAGGAGAGAGAGAGAGAGACACACAGAGAGAAGCAGAAACATACACATAAAGAAAGAGAGAGAGAGAGAGAGAGCGAGAGAAACAAACACACAAACAACAAACAAACATTGTCAGAGAGGAGACAAAGAGAGAACGAGAGAGAGAGAGAGAGAGAGACAAAGAGAGAGAGAGAGAGAGAGCGGGAAAGAGAGAGAGAGAGAGCGAGAGAATGAGAGAAAGAGAGAAACAGAGAGAGAGAGAGACAACAACAATTACTGAGAGAGAGAGAGAGAGAGAGTCACAGACAAAACAGGAAGGACACAGAGACAGAGAAATAACCAACGAGAGAAAGGGAGAGGGGGAGAGAGAGAGAGAGAGAGAGAGAGAGCGAAAGCGAGGGAAACAGAGAGAGAGAGAAAGAAGCAAAAATAAGCACACAAACAGAGGAACACATAAACAGAGAAGGTGAGAGAGAGAGAGAGAGACAGAGAAAGAGAGGAGGAGAGAGACAGAGAGAGAGAGAGAAAGAGGGAGAAAGAGAGAGCGAAGAGAGAGAGAGAGAGAGAGCGGGACAGAGAGAAAGAGAGCCCCTAGATATTCTAAGACCACAAAACATGTTCTTACAGCATGCAACGACGGGTTGAAACAAGACAGCATCGGCCAGAAATGTTCTAAGAACATTTCGTGCAGACCACATAAGGTTCTCAGAGCCAGCCAGGACGCTTCGCAACTGCTTGTGTCTCTGCAGGTCCTCGGGCGGGACTGGCGGAAGGCCAGGGAACGGCAATGCGGCGTGCTCACTCAGGTGCGCGCGCATGCTTTGGTGGTCCCCTCAGCTGGCGGAGGACGCAGGGTCGCTGCGCGGGCAACTGAGGACGGGGCAGTACACCCGAACGCGGGCACAGACCAAGGAGGATGGAGGATGAGGGGGAAAATGAACAAAACAAACATGAGGGAAACGATTCAAAACTAAAGAGTCCCACGCAAAGGGAAATCTGACGCCAGACACACCGTGGAACTAAGCGTGATGGAGACTGAAGAGGGGTGATGGAACTAAGAGGATGGGGGAGTGGAAAAAGGAGGAGGGGGAGGAGGAGGGACGAAGCTTCACCGAGGATGATGACAGGGAGTACGATGATGATGAAGAGGGTGAGGATGCTGCAGAGGACACGAATCAGAACAAAGAGCTTGAGGACGGCGACAGCAAGGAAATCACTCGACGCGGAAATCCTCAATTGTGAATATAGAGTTCCTGGCACTTCCATCCGTGAGCGACTGTGTGAGAGATTCCTAGCCTGCCTGCTGCATCGTGGTGATCATGTGGCTTCGAACGCAGAGGGGTCGGGGATGCCGATCGAGCGCCTCGGCCAGGAAATATACCGGCAACCTTGCCGCGAACAGGCGAGTTGACTGCACCCTGGCAGCTGCTACTTGGGCTGCTACCCTCGCAGTCTGCTCTGGAGACAGAAGTGAAGGGGCCCTGGGACACACAAATAAATACACACAAATACCAAGATTCTCTATATTTTCCTATATTTTCTGGGTTTTTTGTCTTCCCCCCCAATTCCCATATTTTTCCATATTTTCCTGGGAGTCGACGATTAATTGTGTCTGTGTGTTTTCTTCCCTCCTGGAAGAGGGCGCCTCGCTCGAGACAGCCCCCAGATCTGGCCATGAGCGGGCGCACGCGAGAGAGCAGCTGACCAGGCGCCAACCGGCCGCTGAGCCGAGCAGCCGATCAGGTGCCAGGCAGCCGATCAGCCCATCAGCCGATCAGGCCAAAACTACAGTCGTGGCGTTGACCTAAGGAACCCTAAATAAGGAACGAGGCCCCTTTTTTCCATAAATTAACCTTCGATTTCCGGTCGAAAACATCAGGAAAACCTGAGGCAAGCTGCGAAACACTTGAGGAACGCGGAGCCCCTCCCCAACCAAAAGGGTTCCTTCTTCAGGGCCCCGACTGTAGCCGAACAGCCAATCGGGCCACAGCTAGCCCATCAGCCGATCCACCGATCCACAGATCAGACTGATCGGCGATCGGCGGGTGATCGGCTGATCGGCTGGCTGTTGTCTGATCGGCCGATCGGCTGGATTAGATTAATGACCCCAGGGAGCCTCCGCAATGAGAAGCGATAGTCCGCCGCCGGAAGCGCTGCTACTCCCTGCCCCATGAGAGGACAGAGGCTTTACTTTCCTGGGGCTTGCAGCATCCTTTGTGATCCTCGTCTTCTGGCGTCCAGGTCGTAACTCATGTCTCCAACGGCCGTACGGAACGACTCGGGCGTACCCGGATTGCTCCCGGTGAGGCGCAATCGCTGGAAAACACCCGAGGCTGGGCAGCCACCGACAACAGACGGAACCTGCCGTAAGCCTCAAAAACCTAGAACGACCGAACCTGGGGAAACCAAACGGTACCGATCCCACTACTCCCCGGACCTCTGGGGGTGCCTTCGGACCCAAAGTTCGATGCGAATCCAGCGGTGGCGAACAAGCATCTCCTAGGAGGCCCAGGAAACACAAAACCAAAGGACCGGCTGGCAGCGGCAGCGGCACCCTCTCCTCCTCTGAGAACCGTGGACACCCCTCCTCTCCGTGGTGAAGCACTAGGGAGCCTCCCACACCATCTTGTCGGCTCTTGCGAATCGACGCGAATCGACGCCAGCCGACGCAAAATCGGCGCTATCCGATCGACTCCCAGACGCTAATCGACGCTAAAGACGGAGTTGACAGGGTACGCCAGGCCTCCATGATTTGCTGCCGAACTCTCCATGCCGAAGCAGGCCCCAATCCGCCGTGGACGAAGAGAAGGGTGAGGAGGAGGAGGAGGAGGAGGAGGAGGAGGAGGAGGAGGGTGAGAGGGTGAGAAGAGGAGGCAGGGCGCGGCCCCGCCTCCTCACCCTCCTCCTCCTCCTCCTCCTGCTGCTCCTCCTCCTCCTCCTCCTCCTCCTCCTCCTCCTCCTCCTCCTCCTCCTCCTCCTCCTCTCACCCGCCCCACCCCGCCGTGGACGAAGAGGAGGGTGAGGCCCGCTGTGCCGTTGCCCGAGCTGGACTGGACCTGGCCGGCCAGCGGGTCCTTGAGCTGCACGGAGGGGAAGCTCAGGGCCACGCCTGCCCCCCCCCGAGGCGAAGCCATGCCAGGGGCCAGGGACAGCATCGAGCCAGGACAGAGCGGAGGAGGCGGCGGCGGCGAATCGATATCGGGTCGAATGTCTCGTCTCTAAGACCACAAAACTGAAACTCGAGAGGATTACGCTATGTGCGACCTATCGTGCGCGTAAACGCGATTCCTAAGTGGACGGCCCCCACGGATGGGGAGCCCCGAAGGAGAAGGAGGAGGAGGAGGAGGAGGAGGAGGAGGAGGAGGAGGAGGAGGAGGAGGAGGAGGGGGGCCTCTGAGATCCGGCGGTGCCGGAAGATGCATCGGGCGCCGCGGCCTTCTCCGAGTGTTCCAGAACGCTCTGGGAGCGTTCCAGAACGCTCTGAGAGCGCCCCGGAACGATTCGTCCCTGTCATGGCCCCGCCCGACTCCCCCATAGGCGTCGATGATCGAGCGAATGAGCAAAGCCAGACAACCGCCGGTCTGACAACCACCCCAACAGCGCGGCCTCCAGAGATGTCCTGACCCCTTCCCCAGCGCCAATTTTTCGCCCCAGATCAGTTATTCTGGCCCCATCGCCCAGGAGGCGCTCCAGAGCCCAGCTTGGCGGCGCGCAAAAGGGGGCCGAAGTAGGGGGGGAGGCTTCTGAGAAGGAGGCTGCTTCTTGGAAGGGCGCAGGCCCTACATCTGCAGACAAGGCCAGCGCCTTCTAAGAAACAGCCTCCTTCCAAGGAGCCTTCCCCCCTCCCCCTACCGCCAAGCCGTAATTATCACAAGGACGCGCGATCAGAATGCAAGGGCCTTGGAAGCCCATTTCAAAGCTTCTCGAGCGGGGCGCGGCTAACGATCGCGGCCGAGGGATGGGCCGAGGAGGCGATGACGCAAGGGTCCCCTTGGAAGGCTGCCCATCCTTACTGTGCCGGTTGACCGTAACCGCCCTCTGCGCGTGGCCGACCATCGGGGAGAAACGCTTCGATTATGTCGGGCGTGTCCCCCCACATGTGGATTTTCGACGAAAAATAAAAAATCCCCAACAGATACCCCAAAAAGGTCAAACAATACGCAACAAATAGTCCCCAGACTATTTCTTGATTTTTTTTTTTTGATATTTTTGGGGTACTGTTGATTTTTCGTCGAAAATCCCCCTGTAGGGGGACAGGCCCGCCTTAACGCTTGGAACGAACCTCGTCGGAACTCTGGGGCCTCGGCACTAAGGACCGACGGACCGAGCAGACGAGCGTCGAGCACCACGCGCCCGCGCGGCTCCGCGCCCCCCCCCAAGGGCTCAGCGGGAGGAGGAGGAGGAGGAGGAGGAGGAGGAAGAGGAGGAGGAGGGAGGAAGAGGGCTCAGCGGGACGAGGAGGAGGACGAGGAGGAGGAGGACGAGGAGGAGGTGGAGGAGCAGGAAGGCCCGCGACCCTCCCCCCGAGGGCTGCTCGGCGGGAGCAGGGCGGCCCATCCGCTCTCGCAGCGGGGCGGTCGCGGACGCGCCAGGCCCACCACTCGCTCGGCACCAAGTCTCGAGGTTGAACAGGGGATGCGCCGACATCAACGACGACGACAACGACGATGACGACGACGACACCTCGTCGGAGGCCTGCAATGGCGAGGCCCCCAGAGGCTCCTGCTGGACCCGAGTGGACAGGACACCCGAGAGGACACACGACGGGAAACATGTCGACCCCCATCCCAGGCTTCGTGGGGTCTCCGCATGGACCACATCTCGGGCCCAGCCCTGGAAGGCATGACGGGAGGCGCCCATCTGTTAACAGCCCCCCTCGGGGTGTACCCTAGAACCCTTCTCCGCTCCCGAGCGGCCTCACTCTTCGTCAAACATATGTCTGGGGAGACCGAGAGATACCTATACCGCTCCTCCCCGGGCCTCTCCTGGGGTGCGTTCTGACCAGGATCTCGAGGCGAAGCCGGCGGTGGCGACGACGGAGGCCCAGGAGGCCCAAGAAGGGAAACACGAGGGGAGGGTAGAGGTGTGGGTACCCTCTCCCCCCTCGGAGTTTGGAGTTTGCAGGGGTCGGGAGAGAACCGTCGCCTGCGAAGGGTTCTCTCTCTCTCTCTCTCTCTCTCTCTCTCTCTCTCTCTCCTCCCAGCGCGAGAGCCTCGCGGCGAACTTAAGTTGCCTCCATGCTCGGCCCCTCGGGCGGCCCCGCCCCCGGGGAGATAGCGCCAGGCGGGGGCCGCCGCGCGGGGGGGGGGCGCCCAAGAGGGGGGGGGGGGGGGGGGGGGGAAGGAAGTGCGCAGAAATGGTAGCCCGCCGGCACGTGCGCGGCCCAGGGTGGGGGCCCGAGCACGTACATTTTTTTTGATTCGCGGGTCGAGAGCGCACCTCTTCCGGTCGAAGCTAAGCGGGCCGCGCGAAGCTTGAATTAACAAAGAGGGGGAGGAGGGAATGAGCGCAGCCTCAGAGCGAGGCCAGGAGGAGGGCCCGGGCACGTACACGTCGTTCAGTTCTAATCGTGCTCGTTTCTAACCGTGCTCTCTAACTGTTCCTGGCCCCCTGGTGGCCAGGGAGAGGCCCAGGACAGAAGAATGAGAAATGAGAGGGTCCTGCCCCCCCCGAAAATCGAAGAACTCTCGAAGAATAAGAAATGAAAACGCGTACTGAAATGAGAAGAGGCGCCATGAAATCTGGGGAGGCATCATTGTTCGGCTGTGGAAAAGCCTCCCTTTCGTAATCCTTTTCTGAATGAAAACGGCCTGGCACCGAAACCGACTGACCTGGACCCGCAAAAATGACGGCCGCGACGCCCTCTCGCGAACCGAAAACGGCCAACTCCTTCTGATCGACGTGTCAGGGTACAAGAGATCTGTCCACCTCCGAGTCATTCGGGGGCGGCCAAGAGGGGGGTGTCCAAGAGGGGGTCGAACATCATGACCGGCGGCATGTGCGCCCAGCGGGGAGCTGGGGACGTGATGAAACAAGAAGAGGCGCCATGAAATCTCGTGAAATGTCGTGGCCCCCGCCATGATATCCCCCGCCCCCCTAGTCCTCACACCCTTCTTTTAGGGCAAAAAAACTCTCCCCGGTAAAATCCGGCTTTCCCCGGGAAAATGGAACATTCCCCGGTACATTCCTTCCCCGGCTTGATTCCCCGGTAGACTCTGTGAGAGGCGTCTGGGACGCTTCTGAGAGGCTTCTGAGAGGCTTCTGAGAGGCTTCTGAGAAGCGTCAGAGAGGCTTCTGAGAGGCTTCTGAAAGGCTTCTGCGAGGCTTCTGAGAGACTTCTGAGAGGCTTCTGAGAGGCTTCTGAGAGGCTTCTGACAGGCTTCTGACAGGCTTCTGACAGGCTTCTGAGAGACTACTGCGACTACTACTACTACTACTACTACTACTACTACCACCACCACCACCACCACCACCACCACCACCACCACCACCACCACCACCACCACCACCACTACTACTACTACTACTACTACTACTACTACTACTACTACTACTACTACTACTACTACTACTACTACTACTACTACTACTACTACTACTACTTACTACTACTACTACTACTACTACTACTACTACTACTACTACTACTACTACTACTACTACTACTACTGCTACTACTGCTACTACTTACTACTACTGCTACTACTTACTACTACTACTACTACTACTACTACTACTACTACTACTACTGCTACTATTACTACTTTCTACTACTACTACTACTGCTACTACTACTATTACTACTACTACTACGACTACTACTACGACTACTACTACTACTACGCCTACGACTACTACTACTACTACTACTACTACTACTACGACTACTACTACTACTACTATTACTACTACTACTACGACTACTGCTACTACCACTACTATTACTACTACTACTACTACTACTACTACTACTACTACTACTACTACTACTACTACTACTACTCTACTACTACTACTACTACTACTACTACTACTACTACTACTACTACTACTACTACTACTACTACTACTACTATTACTACTACGATCTACTACTACTACTACTACTACTACTACTACTACTACTACTACTACTACTACTACTACTACTACTACTACTACTACTACTACTACTACTACTACTATTACTATTACTACTACTACTACTACTACTACTACTACTACTACTACTACTACTACTACTACTACTACCACTACTACAATTGCTACTACTACTACAACAACTACTACTACTACTACTACTACTACTATTACTACTACCAGTACTATTACCACTACTACTACTACCACTACTACTACCCCTACCACTACCACTACCACTACCACCATCATTACCACTATCATTTCCACCACCATTACCAATACCAGTACTACGACGCGCGAGCACACCGAGATCAGACATTCCCAGGTATGTTTTTTCCCGAAACCGAATGGTCACACGTAAGCCAACCAGTTGGCTTTCGAAGACTCTGCAGCCCGACCCCGCTCGAAACATTCGCAAAAGAAGCGCCGCAGGAATCATGCATTCCCCGGCGCTACCGGGGAATAACCGTTTTTCACGGGGAATGTCAGATTTTCCCGGGCTAAGTACCGATCGCCTTCTTTTAGGGGGCAAAAAGTGACATAAACATAAAAACTCGGAGGTCCGCGCGGATTTCTCGGATCGGCGTTGGGGCCTTCCGGCGGCGCCTCCGGCGCCGCCCCTGGCGCGCCCCGTTCGCCAGGGAGGGGGGTCCAGCGCCGATCCGAGAATCCCGCGCGGACATCCGAGTTCTTATGTTTATGTCACTTTTTGTTCCCCTGTCTTTGCCGCTCCCGAGAGCCATGGCCTGCGCCATGGCGCCCACCCGGGCATCGCACACCGGACGAGGGAGGAGAAACGGGAAAGGGGGAGGAGGAGGAGGAGGAGGAGCGCAGCGTAGAGGAGAGGCGCCTCCGACCGACCACTGTGCTCAGCTCAACAGCTGAGCACACCTCTCCACACTCGAGCAACTGGCTTCGCCAGCGACCAGAGCGGAGGAAAGAGAAGCAAGGGCGGCGGCAGCAGGC